GTCTGTTGATTTCATAGACTCAGAGCTGTTGTGATTTGCCCCAGGATTAATCCAGTCTTGAATTTCACATCTAATTCAAATGAGACTATGGATTTTAGACTTTTAAATTAGTGCTAGATTGAATTAAGGCTTTGGGACTTCTGAGGTAGAATATTTTTCATGGTAGAGGGACATGGGTTTGCAGAGCCAGGGGGATAATTCTGTGATTTGATTGTTTTTAATGAAAGTTTATATGTTAGAAAGCTATTTATGTTAATTATATGTTAAGGTAGGGCTCTTGAATGGTGATTAGGGTTCCATGAGGTCACAACGGTATTTGTGGCTTTGTAAGTAGAAAATGGAGTCCAATCAATAAATTCTCTGTCTTGCAACTTTATGCCCCCTATCATCTTATGAAGAAAGCATTCATCACATACTGGTGTTATTGTCTTGAATAAACCAGTTGTCAAAATTATGAGCTAAGTAAACAAAATTTCATACTATAAGTGAATCTATAGTATTCACTTTTGGTAGTAGAAACCTAACTAAGACACTGCTTAGAAAAATATTGCGTTCTCGGTCATATACTACCTTCCTAAATAAGGAGAACTAAAAGATGGTAGATGAATTGGAAGGCATAGTGAAGAGGGTCAGAGGCCAAGGAAGTGTGAGGAGGCACAATGGTGACCAAATTCAAAGAATGTCAACTTTGTGTACTATCTTAGCATAGCCTTCATTCTGTTATTTCCTTCACTCCAGCTCAACTATAAGCAAGAAAACCAATTCCTCTTAGCTTTCTCTATGACCCTTTTAAAGTTTAATAGCAAAAATTGTAATTCACTGGATAACTTCTAACGTACTAGATTTTGCCCTTAGAAGCATCTATCATCATGTACCATGAAAACTATGCCAGTTATTACTATTACATTCTGTCAATGAGGGAACTGAGGCTTGGAGAAATGAATCATTTATAATTCATCCATTTTGTGATACAGCTCCAGCCTGAAGAGTTCTAAACCAATGCCTTATAATACTCCACCGCTGTTATCCCACCCACAGGAGTATCTGCACCAATGGGGGGGGGTTTGTGAAAGAAAGTCATGGTAGCAAGCATATTAGTGAGAGATACAAGGGTCTTGCCACAGAATTGAAAATTGTACTCCTTGGGTGTTTGCTTAATTTACCCTTCTCCATTTTAACGTGGGAGTTTTCCTTCTATAGCACCAATAATTTGATTAAAGGAAAGGAAAACAATGAGCCAAAACTAAACTACCAGATTTGGCATCTCATGGGTGAGTATGTTTGAGATCTGCTCAAGTCTCATTAAGCTGCTCTTTAGAAAAGTGAGTGAACCAAACAACAGGCATTTTTTGAAAAGGTTGATTCTCTAAATTAAATTAAAAAAAAATGCTTTGACTCCAAAATTTAAGTTGAAGGACAAGTTACTGGGGAAAAGGATTTCTATTTTTGTTTCCACAGAAAATGAAAAGATGTGGATTCCTTCCAGACTAATGTGGTTTGATCATGCCAGACTGCCGGAAACAGAGTACAAGCTGATCCTACATTCAAAACAGCTGGACAAAACAGCCCTACAGACTACAGCCAGGATATCTGAATCTTCTTCGAATCCCCCATGACAGCGCCCCTTACCAGCAGGAAGTAGTTTGGAAAGAACGATTCCCAAATTCCCAAATATTGTGTATAAACATTTGTTTTCACTTAATTGGACTTTGTTATATAAAATAAAGTACAATAAAAAAGAAAAGGTTGATTCTCTAAAACACCGAACAGGAAGGTATTCTAAAGTGGGCAAGAAAAAGACAGGAAAAGCAAAACAGCAGGGAAGCCTCCACAGAACATTCAGACTGTAAAACACAACTGAGTAAATAGAAAATTTGAGCAGTAATTTTTAATCAGTATTTTATTAGACAGTAACTCAATACTTTATAAAACAATATATTTAAAAAAGATGTTCATTTGCTACTCTTACTGAATTAAGCCATACTGATTGATACCACACTCAAAAAAGGTCCCCAGACTGCTGAATGCATGGTCTACAGTCAAAATTTGGAGATATGTTGACCCAGAATAAATACATTCTGGAATCTTCCTTGCATCATCATGTGTGTCTGTTTATGTGTTGTAGCTTATTTTGTCTTGTCCAGAGGAGGGGGAGGAATGTTCTTGATGGAGGCTACTCTGTGTGGGAAGAGGACAAAGCTAATGCTCAAAGGCCCTTCACAGGAATCTTCTTGAGCCTCATACCAGATTTGGGAGGGTTATGCCTGACTAATTCTGGCACGGGGATGATATCATCCAAACAATGTCTAACTCGATGGATGCAAGTTCTGCTTTGTGACTACTGTGAGGCATGGAGCTATTGCTCTTTGATTGCAGCCCAGCATATGATCTGATGACTTGAGACATACCTTAGTTACTAGAATAAGGACACAGGAAAATCAAAGCTGAACCTCCAGCATTCCAAAATTAAAGTCTGTATTTCAGATTTAAATTCCTCCGTACATGTGTAGAGAGTTGGACTGAGGATGGAGAAGAAGGGAAAGGAAGGGATGAAGTGAAGGAGGGAGGGAAGAAGGGGGAAGGAGAGAGAAAAAGAGGAAAGGGTATTCTCTTGACCTTGAAGAGACTGGCTCTTTAGTGCCGAATTCTAGAGGACATATTCTTGGGAACATTTATTTTATTTCTATCAGTAAATTAACTCTCATCTCATGGAAAGATACTAATTTATCTGGCCTAGTTAGTGTATTAAATTACACTATTTCATCCTCTAGTGGCCTGAAAAAGTTAATTTACCATTTGAATGTCAAGAATGCTAAGTACATATATCATGTCCTATCCCTTTATAATTCTCAACAAACACACAGTATGCTTTGCTTGGGTGTGCTTTCTTTTTTTATTCCCATTTACAGATACTGGGACAGAACAAGAGGACTGTAGCAGTCTATCGGCAGTAAGAGGACAGAAGTTGACTGTGGTGCATCTCAAGGCACTCAAGAGAAAGCCTTGATATAAGAGAGGGAAAGACGCCAGGAAGAAAAAAGGACAGAGAAATGCTGATCCAGTGACAGTGATTCTAAAACCCATGACTGCCTCTACTCTGCCCTTTGTATCTGTGGTGCAGGATCTTTCTATCCCCTAGTCCTGGAATGCTCTAGACCCTTCTCTCCTCCCCTTCCTTCTCTCTCTCTCTCTCTCTCTCTCTCTCTCTCTCTCTCTCTCTAAGGGGGGAACTAGAAACTAGAATAGATGGATTTAAAAAGCAAAGAGCCAATTTTTAGTTTTCTAGGTACATTAATTGCCTAAAGCACTAAAATAATTAGGATTGGTTTAGAAACAAAATGTCACTAGCTTAATTTACACAATGGGATGGGAAAGAAAGGGCAGATGCTTGACTTGAATCCCATATGTAAAATATGTTTATTGTACACTTGGATGTCAGAAATGCATGTTTTGAAGGTGGGTGTCTTCTATGTATTGCTTTTGCAAGATCAGTAAGTCAGTACCCACGACTCATGAGAGCCCTTTGGTCATTTGAGAGGCAAGTATGTTTATAATATAAAGTAAGACTGGAAGCTCTTTCCCCTCTTTGAAGGCTGTTGAGCATATTTTTGGGCTCCAGAAACTGCTTGGTGCATAACAATTTCCAATAACCGGGCACAATGAAGTAGGGACAAGGCTTGGCAAGACACAAGCAAAATGAAAAAAGAAAGAGAAAAGAAGAAAAACAAAAGTCTTATTTGGAAAGATACAACTAGAATCAAGAGGGTAAATAAATGAAATGTAATGGAAAAATAAAACATAAACGAGGTTATTTCATTTATCTGTGTACTTAGTTCATTAGTAAGTTAGCTTCTGAGTTAAAATTGTGCTTTGTGAGCCAGGCCGACCCTGAGAACTTGCTGTCCTCCTGCTTCAGCCCAAGGTGCTGGGATTACAGGTATGTACCCCACAACACATTGATACATGAAATTTCTTTTTCTTTTTTTACTCCCTCCCTTCATCCCTTTCTCCCTCCCTCTTTCCCTCCCTCCCTCTGTCCCTTCCTTCTTATTTTGTTTCCAAGACAGGGTTTCTCTGTATAGATTTTGGAGCCTGTCCTGGCAATCAGTCTGTAGACCAGGCTTGCAGAGAACTCACAGATCCTCCTGCTTCTTCCCTCCAAGTGCTGGGATCAAAGGCACGAACCCCCAAGACCCCTTGGTACCTGAAATTTTCTAAAGGAGATTTTGGTAAGCTAAAATCTTACCAAAGAGTTCACTAACAAATTAATAGAAACGAATAAAATAATAGAAGACACTGAACACCGAGCTGTCACCTTTAAGAAGTTTACAGACAGCTAGGAGTCTTGAGAAATTGCCTGCCTGTGTCAACTGTCAAATGCCTGAGTTTTTTGTTTTTTGTTTTGTTTTGTTTTGTTTTTCAGTGAACTTGGCTCAAGTCTCTTTAACTCCAGCCCTAACCAGAAGTGTCTGGCTCTGATTTTCCCTCAGAGGGCTCCTTGAGTGAGTTGAGGCCACAAGCTGGCAGCTGGGTCATCTTCTGCCACTCTTTTGGGTCTATTTTACCTCGCTTACTTCCCCAGGGATGGTGGGGGAAGAGAAAGGAACAGTCAGGTGAGACCCAGCAGGGGGAGTGGGTGAGCTGGCCCCATGGCCATCTGAGTATGGCCTTGGGTGTGGGTGTGGGTGTGGGTGTGGGGCAGCTGGGTGGGAGCAGCGTGCAGGCTACTAGCACCAAGTGGTGCGCCTCTCCGGGGGTGTGTGCAGAAGGCTCCAGGATAAATAGGAGGCTCCCAGTGCCGGGCGACACTGGAGCCCGCTGGCTGCCCGCCCCGGGTGTTTCCCTGCCCTGTAGCCAGGCTGCCTGCTGCGTAGTTTCTCTTCCTCCTGGCTCAGGGATTAGTTTCCAAGCACCCTGACGGTGCCAGGACCCCGGGAAGGGCACGAAGAAAGATCAGGGAGGCTCTTCCAGGGGCTGCCTTGCCCAACACAGCACGGTTGATGGACCCAACCGCCCCGGGCAGCAGCATCAGCTCCCTGCCTCTGTTCCTGGCCCTTGCCCTTGGTAAGTGTCCATACTGGGAGCTGTAAATCAGGAGAAAAGACAGAGTGCTGGAGTCCTGCGAACCTTGATCTGAAGAGGGAGACAGCTAAGTTAAGATCCCGCCTCTGGCTTGCACCTGCTGGAGGCCGCAGGGCAGAAAGGACCCCGCGGGCTCGCTACTGGGCTGCATTTAGGTGCTGCTGAGGTGTGCCAGGAGCAGAACCAGGAGAAGTCTAAGCGGGACCCGAGAGGCATGTAGCAGGTGCTTGAGGCAGGAGCAAGGGTGTCTGTAAGGAGGATACAAGCATGAGGCAGAGGAGCGAACTCCTTTCACTCAAGGGCTAGAGAGCAACATGCCTCTGCGTGTGTGAGTGTGTGCGTGTGCGTGTGCGTGTGCGCGCGCGTGTGTGTGTGTGTGTGTGTGTGTTTGTGTGTGTTCCAGGAATGTGTGAGAGACAGGACTGCTGTTGAGACTTGGGGAAATCATCCTCATCAACACACACACACACACACACACACACACACACACACACACACACACACACACCTTTTTCTCTTTCCCCCTTTTCTTAATTGTTAGGGAGTAGCTGGGAGGAAAATGTGGTTTCTTCTGAGGTGTTTCTGTGACTCTTCCATTCAATGACAAGTAAGCAAAGATAAATGAAAAACAAAAAAAGAATATGCCAAACTGTCTCACTTAGGACCTGCTGTTTCTTATTTTAAGAAGTCACAAGAGGAAATATTTGTCTTCATTTGGAAAGTAAAGTCCAGTTGGCTGAGAACCCCTGACTGTGATTTCTATGTGGTGGAGGGGTCGAGGTGAGGCAGGTCCCTGGAAGCTTCAGGGGGCATCCTGCCCCGTGTGTGCTATCTGTGTAGAGGACAAGAAGAGACAGCCTACTGGGAAAGTCCAGCCATCTCAACATCTCTGCTTCGAGGTTCCTGAGGATGCTGGAAGGGAAGGGGCTCTAATGTTATTTTCTAGCCTTAGGAGTAATCTAAGGAAGACTGAGACATTATGCGTGGGTTGGGGGACTTCTAAGAGTCACAGTGTTATTAACCCTCCTTTCAAGCCTAAAAGGACCCTCCACCTGTGGCAAGGGATGAGACTGGCTCTCAAGGTGGAAATTCATTTGGCTGTGCCTCCTGAATGGGAAATAAGGATAAGATGTTTGCCAACCTGGTGGCAGGTGGGTTGGATATAGATCCAGGTTAGAGAAGGATTGGCTTAGCCTGCAATAGAAACAGTTCATATTAACCCAGTGTAGAGTGGCATGGGAAGAGAAGAGAGGTGCATTTGAGATGGAGGTCTCAAGGAAGCACTGATTCTCTTATCAGTACCACATGTATGCAACTGGCTCTGTCATCCTCTCTCTTGTCTGGATTGTCCCATAGCCAAGGTCTCATTTTGCTAGAGTGAACAAAATGCTAACATACATAAGAAGTGGATGGACAAATGTTCAAGAGGTTCTTAGATGTGGTTCGTGCACTTAAAGTGATTATGTTTCATTGGGAATGCTAGCCTGACAACACAAAACAATTAGGAAAATATTCAGGTAAGCGGAGAAGGGAGAGTTCTACAGTGAATATGGAATGGTGACAAGAAGCTGCATGCAAGGTATGAGAGAGTCTGAGAAAAGAGTGGAAGTCAGGGTAGAAGACCGCAACGCAAAAGTGTTTAGGAAACAGATGTTGATTTGATGGCGATTCTCTACTAGAAGAAAATGATGCAGTTGCATTGAGAGAAAATGTAAACAGTTTCTGAAGAGCCAAAATGACAAGTATAATTAAAATATTTGATCAGAAATCAATAGGTAGTTAAACAGACTCAGTTACAACGCATGAATGGAGGATGTAAACAATGAATCAGAGGAGATAAAACTGGCATTAGGGTGCAGTGTAGGAGGAGGAGGAGGAACAATGGACTAAATGGCTTGATTGTCTTGAGGATATGAGTTAAGCATGAGCTATGTGCTGGGCTAGGACTGTCAGGAAAGAAATGACCCTTCAGGGCTGATGGGTTTCTCCTTTACTGTCACACAGTCCATTTCATACCCCCAATCTGTCAAAAGACAAAAGTGAAAACAGAAATCCTCTAAACCAGTGTTACAGTACACTCAGGGAAACCTAAATGGGTGATCTCCTTGATGACTGATAGCTTAGGAGCTTGGATTATGTCTCTAGATCCCCTACATGCTTGCAAAGTTCCAGGGGATGTGGTTTGTTGGCATCACTGTTTCCATTAAGCATTCCTACGTCTATCACACATACACTTTAAGTCTCCTAATTTAAACCATATGTAATTTAACTGTGAGCAATATGCTATGATGTGACATGACCGATGTGACACTGGAAAGAGCACAGCACACTGTCGCTGAGCAGATGGGAGATGGTTCCACCTCTGCTCTTCTGCAACCCTAGGATACCTACAAGTTACATATTTCTTGACATCATCTTATTCATTTGTAAAATGATGAGATGTTATGTTTCCATCATCACATTCTTCATGAAAATACATAAAATACTATATGATTAGTTAGCGTGTGTGTTTTAAGTGTAGATGCATCTAAAGATAATGGGCTTTGGTAGATTACTCTATTCAGGGTAATTAACATTCCAAAATATATAAATTTAGGTGATGCTTCATTTATGAATTTTATGAAGGAAAAAAGGTGAGTTGGAGATAGAAAAAGAATAGCACAAAACAGCTTTATATGATACAAATAAATTTAACATACATATTAGAAATCTCTTTGTATATATATATATATGTGTGTGTGTGTGTGTGTGTGTGTGTGGTGTGTGTGTGTGTATACATATATATATATATATATGGAGTTGGTTTTATTTTACTAAAACTACCCAAAATAATTTGTAGAGAGTAAGTGGAAATCTCGACTTTGATTTTTCATCTGTATTCTCTTAACTCTTAATCAAATTCAGCTACTGATAGAAATCTAATTCCAGTGGTTGAGGGGGTAATGTTTAAGAAGAGATATTGAGCACTCACTTTTTATCTTTGTCATGGTGTCTGAGACATGAGCCCAGTGGAATGGTCCTATCTCTCAGAATCATAGATGATAAGTTGTAGTCAAATCCATTTCCTGTATGATTCTTTAAATGGCAAAGAAGCCAATTCCTGAGTTCTTGCTTGCCAAAAGAAGGGGACAGACTGTAGTGATGTCACTCCAGGCCCTCTTGCATTTGCTCACTGTGTAAAGGCAGGCCATGAGAACCTAAGCCTGGTTCTGAAGGACCTTGGTCTTCTTAACTTTAGTGAGGACCGCTTTTGACTTCCCAAAGGACTTGCATTCCAAAAGCTAGTATTCATGACAGATACTTTGAATGTATATCACATAAAGTATCCTATATCAACAGTGGCTGTGGTAGAATTCCCTCTTAAGTATTAGAAAAAGCTTATGAATTTACAATGTACTAATGAAAGCACAGATGATGATAATAATATTAAATCCAAGTGTAAAGCAAATGCCAAGTAACAGATAACATGTTTGCTTTCACCATCACATCTTGATAATGATGTGTTGCTTCTCATGAGTGAAGGGTGGGGATGAGGTAATATTTCTAGTGTATACTATAACTGTTACATATTCAACAGATACAGATTGATGACCTTTTATAAAAAAAAAAAAAGCCTATGTAAGTGATGACTATGCTTGAATGTATTTGCATGACAGGAGACACTTTCCAAAGCAGAATGCTTGTTACTCAGATAGGAGATAAAAGACTTTAAGAAAGAAAATAAATTTTGACTTATTCCTCTAAGGATTGTACACCAAATGCTATCTGATCTGCCAGGTACTTAATATCATCATTGAGTTATGAAGCTAAAACAATTCCTAAGTCATCTAATACAATAAGCACAGAATTCTTCAAGAGAAGTAGTTCAAGATGATCTATGTTCATTATTTATATGAAGATGTACAATTGATACACAATTAACTTTTGGAGTTGCTAAAAAGTGTCCAGGGACTTACTCATCATGTACTGAGATTATTTCATAGTTCTTTATGCTTCTCAGGTAGGCTTGCCCTTTGTGTTATAGAATGCCCACAAGTTACACCAAAGAGGACAGCAACCCGATTGAAATGAGTATGCTTTCTGAGACTAATGATTGTATCTTAAAAAAAGTCTCTCAGTAGCTTGGGTTAGTCTTTAATGGTGAGAATTTGAAGACATTTTTAGATGGTTGGAGAGAGATGGGGTATTTAATCTAAATTCATATCAATTAAGTAATTGACTATCAGCTGTTCAAGTCAACTGACCATGAAATATTTCCATTCATTCTTTATGTTTTTGAGTGATATGTAGATTGCTATTTACTGACCTGTGGGTTAAGTGCATGAGTTACAGATCAGTTTGGAAAGTACAACAGTGTTCATACTCAATTTTCTTGTTTGAAAGTGTGGCATGGATTTTATTTTTTTAATGTTATTTATTTATTTATTTTTCTTGTTTTACATATCGATCCCAGTTTTTTCTCCCTCCCTCTCCCCTTTCCTCCCATGCCCCCCAACCATCCTCCCATCCCATTCCTCCCCTACTCCTCAGGGAGGGTGGTGCCTTCCTGGAGGGGATCAAAAAAAATCTGTCAAGTCATTTGGAGTAGGGACTAGGCCCTCCCTCCTGCCTCTAGGTTAAGGGAGTACTTTTCCATGGGGAATGTGCTCCTAAAGTCCTTTTGTACCAGGGATACATCCTGGTTCCACTGTCAGAGGTCCCTTAGATTGCCCAGGCCTTCTAACTGAGACCCATGTTCAGGGGGTCTGAGTTGGTCCAATGCTGGTTTTCCAGCTCTCAGCCTGGGGGCCCATGAGCTCCCCCTTGCTCAGGTCAGCTGTCTCTGTGTGTTTCTGTATCTGGTCTTGTCCTCCTCTCTGCATCTGGATTCCATTTTGGCTCAGTGTTTAGTTGTGGGTGTCTGCTTCTGTTTCCATCAGCTACTAGATGAGGGCTCTATGATGGTGGATAAGTTGGTCATTAATCTCATTATCAGGAAAGGC